ATCTCCATTTACTGTGATAAGGTCTATGATCTTGGAAATTCTTATCAACTGTTCAGAACTGGGTTTCCCACCAACCTGAGAATAGTGATACTGGATAAAGTTTTAATGAGATAGTATGCAAAGTTCCTACATAGAGTAGATGCCCATGTTATTATTATCCTCTTCCTTATCCAGGCTTTCATATTTCCGTTTCAAATCTTTCATTTGTTGTAAATTTTCTCAAATCCTTTGTAGAAAGCAATAAATTTTGACTTCTGTTTTCAGCCTATTAACCCCCTGGTAGCATAACCAGAGCTGTTTAGAAAATAAAATAAGCTGCAGGCATCTACTTGATCAAAATAAAATTTGCTCCTGGACTCAAAATTATTATTTCTTCCAACTAAATAATGCAGTTTCTGTAACTGCCTCTTGTACACTTTAATGAAGTTTCCTTGGGGGCCTATTTTTCTCTTATGACATTTTATTTCTTGGTATAGCATAGAGGCAATGTTTAAGAATTATATTCTCTATTTTCAATAGGTTCTGATCTCTTTTCTTTTCATGTATAAGATGGCATTCACTCACAGCCTCGTGTTCTAAAACAGCAAAGCGAGCCATGACTTTGTCAGAAAGAAACTGATAGAGTGGAACCTTTTATTTTCCTGCCTTCTTAACAAGATAATTCCATGCCTAATAGCATCCTCCCTCCCTAGAAGAGATGATTTTCTACTTTTAAGATCCTGTCTCCTTACAGAAGGCTTTGTTTTTGCTAATGTGCTGTATAGCATTCAAGTATCTAGAAATACTGTAAATTACAGTAAACTTCCAAGGCCTGTTCCAAGATGCAAACAGCAACAACAACAAACCAGGAATGTAGCACTTAATTCAAAAGACTTTAAAAATTATGAGGTTCTTCAAGTTGGAAAACAAAGCCTTGTTTGATTCCTTAGATAGAACAAAAAATCCAACAGGTAGAATTTTACTCCTTATAAAGTAGGCTCTTTGCAGAGTATGTTTAGATTGTTTTCACTGGATTCACTTTCTCAAGAGTCAATGAAAATATGTCCTTACAATAGCTCATAACTAGGGGCCCTGGATTAGAACCAATAAATGAAAAATCATAATTTTATTGAAAAAGTGTATATGATAGTCTTAGAATCCTCTTATCAGTGTCACATTGTCTGTTGCCAAAAATAAGAGATGGTAAAGACCTTTGAATTAGAGGTGGAGTGGAGCAAAGGCTGGGCCCAACCTATTGATGCCAGCTGATTCTTCTTTATACAGAGAGTGGAGAGAACCACTCCTGCTCCTCTCCAGCAAGGAATGGGAAAGAAGGTGCTTGTCAGACGAGATTTGCCTCAGAGATTAGGAAGAATTGAAGGGTTGTAAAACATTGGAATTGCTGTGCAGGAAGAGACAGTGGCTATTTAAAAACAAGGTAGACCTTCATCTATCTTCCATGGCTCAGATGCGAAGGGAGGACCATTAAGTTACCTCTTGCAGCCTGATGTGTCTGTAGGGTGTGCCGGTAACATTTGTGAAAGCCCAGGAAACAGGGCCGGAGAGAAACTGCAAGCTGAGCTGACAGAGTTACCCACCTGCTGCATTCGAGAAGCAGCTCCTGCTGCATTCGAGAAGCAGCTCCCGGAATTTGCTTAGCTGTTCTCACCATGAAGCAAAGCACAACTTAAAAAGAGTAACTAGGTGAGGCAAAAGATGTGTTAGCTGGCTTGATGGAAGTAATCATTCCTCAAGGATTAACTACATCAAATCATCCCCTTGAAATAATAAGATTTTATTTGTTGACAATACATCAGCAAAACCGGAAAATTAAAAATAAAAAGAAGCAAATGCTGTGAATCTTTAATAAGTGAACCTGTTGAGGACATGATGGAAAAGTTTTATGTTAACCTCCTTTCTACATAACTCTCTGTCCTGTCTTCATTTTCCTCTCATTCTGTACCACCTACACCTAAATTATAATGTCATTCTCTACTTAATCTTTCTTTATAATCCACTTTAAAATCTTCCTAGTATAACAGGTACTCAATTAAATAAAATAAATTTTCTTAATTGAAGTTTTAAGAGTTGTTTTTTTTTTTTAAGCCAGGAATTATGCCAGACACAGAGGCTCAAATGATGACAAAGCTTCACTATAGAGAAGTGGGAACAGAGTGTAGTGAGCTGAGAGTGTAGTCTTGGGGTCACAGAGCAGAAAGGCTTTCTGACCTGTGAGTGAGAAAGGACACCAGAGAGGTGGTAGCAGAGCTGATTGGGACCAAAGGACAAATCCTGCCTGCAAGTATAAATAACGGAATATTAAAAGCCAGTCTCACATTTATGTTTCTAAAACTGAAGTCATGCTATGTGCTCCATGAACGTTCATAACAGAGGAGTATGAAGCCACAGTGGGTGAGAGTGTGGTTTCCGGAAGAGCTGAGGCTGCCTCTCTTATTCCACACAAGTGGCACTGTTCCATCCCAGGAGTTACTGGCAAATGAGCTCTTTCACTAATGTTTCCTTCTCGCCATGCAGACAGCGACCACTGATATAATTTGAAAAATGCAAGAGAATTGCCCAGTTTTCGGGGAGTCCTGGAAAAATGCAATAGCAGAATGGATGTCTTTAACAAAAGAGACACACTCAATAATCTCTTTGAAGCCCCAGTTGAAAGAATACAGATAAAAATTGTTCTGTCAGCCTCCTCAAAAGTAATGCAAAAATATCCTACTCGATCACAGACCTTACAAAAATACAGGAGCCCCTGCTTGAGGGCTGGCATGAACCACCCACTTAGGCTGTGACCCAAGGAGACCCATAGGGTCTGTGCAGAATGAGCTAAGTGTGAGGACTCTGGGGTGACATGAAGAGTTGACCTGTGACTTGATCTAGCTGTTTCACCACACCCTGTCTTTTATTTTTAATTTTTTACTTTTTGTTTTTCTTTTCCCCCTGTCTTTTAATCAGGCTTTGTCTCTAAAGCAAGACCAGCAATATTTTAAGTCTTTACCTATTGACCTCATATTCTAAGAATTAGATTTTTACTGACTCTTCAAATTCCCCCAGCAACCCATTTATAGATGAAGAACCCAACTTTATGAAGATTCGTTTATCCAGGGAGAGAGAGCTAGGAGCAGGAAAGTTCCTGCACCAGCTTTGATCATGGTTTGGTATATACTTGATTGTTTTATTTAATTCCAAGTTTTCCATCTCCACAGTATTGTAGGATGTTATTAAGCCACTGAAAATATACATCAACTGGAGAAATTTTATATTATAGCAACAGCTTTTTGTATTGGAAATTTTGCAAAGGTTTCTAGGGGGGCAGAGCCTAGATTCTATAGGTTATGAGACGATCCCTGAACTGCCCAGAGGAGCCAAAGTGCTGGGAGACTTACAAGTATTTGGTCTAAGCTCCCCTAGGCTCAGGTACTTTGCTTGTCTTCCTGGCAGAAGAACTGTGACAATCATTTTTTAATACAACATGCAGCCCTGAGAGTGTGATAAGATGCTTTGTAAGTCTGGCTTTTCTGCCTATTGTAATCCTATAGTTATTACAAATAGGGCCAGAGAACTTCCTAACGAAACAAAACAATAAACCATTAAGGCCATTTAGGATCAAGACTTAGAGGTCAACCTGTTCTATGTCAGGTTAATGGGCTTTTTGCAAGTTCTCTGGTCTTGGAAAATGGAAAAAGTACAGGCCTAAATCACTGCTAAACAGACTTACATAATTTAAAGTGCAGGTGGTTGCTGGGGCCCAGTCTTCATGGCAGGTAAACAAAAAGTCAATGACTTCCATTTGATTCATGCGTATAGTAAATTATAGTATAGTGCCTTGACTCTACACACCATGATTTAACACTTTTTTGGAACTTCATTTTTCTCTTCTGGAAACTAGAAACAGAAGCTGAGCCAAGACTATGACAAGTTTGAGGTTAGCCTGGGAAATTTAGCAAGAACCTATTTCAAAATAATTTTTTAAAAAGATCTGGCCATGTAGCTCAGAGGTACAACATTTCCTAGCATGTATAAGGCCTTGGGTTCAATCCCCAGTATCAACTGCAAAAAGAGACAGAAATAGAAGCAGAGAACAAAAGATACTATTAGTTATAGAACAGTGTGTACTTTCTTAACAGAAATCCAAACAGTGTACATTTAAATTCCAATTTTAATATTCTTTGATGAAACCGGAATCCTCTTTGCTGGTTTCAAAAATGAATCCCTTGGAGAAGTTGTATGTGACACTCTTCCTTCCATGATTCTAAAGTTGCTTGAATCCCAAACAAGTTATTGATCTGCTCAGCTCGTCTTGAGTACTCAATGTTGTAAACATTAAAAAAGAAAAAAGGGAACATTTGTGTTGTTCATTAACCGCAGTCTTTTCTGTAATAACATGGGCTATGTGGAAAACAGTGCTCTGAGGGTGGATTTTATTGAAAAATTCTGATGTTTTAAAAGATTACGAGGATGTCTGAATCCTGAATACAAAAGTCAGGCGGCCCAGGGCCATTCTGTAAAGAGAGAGGGTTCCTAAGTGGAGGGGGAACGGTTGCCTCACTCAGCAGGGCCCACCTCGAATGTGCGCTGTGTGTAGGATCTGGAATGCTGCAGCCCTGATGATAATCAGGAAAGATGAAATGGGGTCTGATGGGACTGACATTGGAGGGCTCAGGAGACAGCACTTTGGTTGGGGCAGTCACATCTTCAGGGCCATTCTGCATGTAACCTGGTCTTTCTAGAATCAAGTGGGCTAAAGCAGACAGGAGAGGCTGAGACTGCATCAGAACGTGCAAACACAGGTGCCTTGGGATGTTTGCATCCTTCTTATTGCTGTCCCTGTGTGGACCCAGAGTCGTGGCTCTTGTCTCCAGGAGCATGCAGGATGTTGTGTTTCTAACCTCCCAGGAGGGAGGCTTCCTTGCAACTTATTTCCCTCTGCACATTTTAAACTTCCCGTGAAGACAGGGACAAAGTTGCCATCGTGCCTGACGCTGTTCACTATCTCTTTGTCCCCACAGAATCTGTACCAGAACAGGTTTTTAGGCCTGGCCGCCATGGCGTCTCCATCTCGAAATTCCCAGAGCCGGCGCCGATGCAAGGAGCCACTCCGCTACAGCTACAATCCTGACCAGTTCCACAACATGGACATCAGGGGTGGCCCTCATGATGGCATCACTATTCCCCGCTCCACCAGTGACACAGATCTGGTCACCTCGGACAGCCGCTCCACGCTCATGGTCAGCAGCTCCTACTATTCCATAGGGCACTCGCAGGACCTGGTGATCCACTGGGACATCAAGGAGGAGGTGGACGCAGGGGACTGGATTGGCATGTACCTCATCGGTGAGTTCCCTGTCCCCTCCATCCCTGCTCATGGAGCCACTGACTTAACCAGGGCCACTGACACCGTACTGCAGAAATGGCAGTCTCATGCACAGGTTTGGGAATTCAATAAGTATATTACTCCTAATTCATTTCCACATACACTTTAACATATTTCCAAACTCTTCAGTGTAATTAAAACACACATTGAACTGAGTGACACACGCTGACGCCCACCAGTCCCTTGCTTTGTTTTTCTGCAGTCCAAACAATCAGGCCTCTCTTCCCATCTCTGCTTGATGGAAGGGAATCATGAGATAACAGAGTGAGGACCAGTTAGGCACAAATGCCATCACATTTGCAACTAAAGAAGCTCTTCTATTTGTGAATAAGTGAATATCAAAAGCCTTTTTTCTAAATCCATGAATTTAAGATCAAAGTAAAACCATTTTCTTAATCAATATTCAGTTGATTTCACTGTTTCCAACATAAATCACTTTGTCCAGTCCTCCAACATTTTTTTGCTTTGTTTTCAAAAGATAGGGTGGGTTTGTAAAGTCATGGTGCTAGAGAAAGCTTATTTCAAAGTTATAAAAGTTTCCAAATTAAAAGTTCATTAGGAGAGATTTTTCTGTGTGAATTTTCTCAAATCTAAATTCGAATTATGCAAATAAAGTACATGCTGAGCCAACTATTGTATCAGACCTTCACCATTCTCATGGATTGGTTTTGCAAATAAATCTTACTAATTTGAAACTGTGAAAATAATTTACATGAAATTTCTTCAATTTTACATGGTAGAATGTAGTGTGGTAGAAATTGACAGAGTATTACGCAATCCAAGGTGTGAATTTGGGGGGGCATAGAAATCAGTAGGTCCAACAAACACTAGGTCCAAGACAGGCCAAAGCATCCCGCCTTCCACCTCGTGGTGTACCATTACACACTCTGACCCGTAGCGCCAGAGTTAGCGTCAATGAACATCACAGGAAGAAATGCTGTGTTGTGTGTAACTTTACAACCTCGGCCACTTTTCTGATAGATTAAAGTGAGTCTTATCCAACTGTCAAAAACATATTTTTGTCCCTGTTGGAATCTCTGCTATCAGCTTGGTTAATATATTTATAGAACATGCAAAATTGAAGATGAAACATAACTTCTGAAGTTTTTACATAAATAATACTTACTAGATAAATTGAACTTTGAAATAGTGAAATTTCATGGTTTTTTTAAATTAGTTCTTGAGCAAAAGTAGATGCCATCAATCTAGGACAAGAAACAAGAGAACAGGCTACCAAACGTATTTCGTTTACTCCAGACGGTTTTAATTTTAATTAATTATGAACATTTAAAAATACAGAGATTTCATATTAAAGTCCATCTTTCTAGTGTCCTCCACAGAAGCCCCTAATGTGTCAGCCTCAGCCTGCAACACCACAGGGCTGTAACCAGCTGGAGTTAAGGACCTGTTGCCCCTTTACATGGCCTGCAGCCTCCAATGCAGGGATGTGACTTGTTACACTTGAGGTTTTTACCACATGCAGAGACCTAATCTTGAATCGCCTCTTCACAGGACCAACCATATCTGCAGGTGATGAGTGTTGGTGCCATTCCTCACCTTAGGGACCATAAGAAGCGGGGTGCATTTGGGGAGAAGGTGATAAATTTAGTGGGGACTTCCAGGGTATGCAGTCCCTGAAGAACTGTCATCTAGGGATGGGCCTGGGCTCAGTTATAGATCCTGCAGATCTAGAGTGACTGGCACTGTGAGGATCAATAAAGTTACTTGTAGACTGGGAGCTGAAAGAACACCAGAAGTTCCCCATCAGAAAAGGAGGCAGGAGAGAACCTCAAAAAGAAGATGGGCAGTGGAAGGACAGCAGGCGCTAACACCACCAGGGACTACAGAGGAGGGTGTTGGAAGAAGGAAGGGCTGTCAGCCACATCAAATATCATGAAACTCCTCAAGTCTGGTGTTAACATGGTGTTTGGGCTGAGCCAAAAGTAACCACAAGTCATCATCTTGGAATCTTAGTCTGACAGTTTGTTATTCTCATAGTAGCTACACATATATAACTGTGAAGTTATTTAACGCAAAATGCCAACACTTTCCATGGTGTAATACTTCAAATGCAATGTTCCAATCCAAAAGTGTCTGTGAATCTTCAGATTTCATAAATTTGCAAGTCGTTAGTTAAGTTCTCTTGCAGACTGGCAGAACCTGCCAAACCTCAAGCCACAGATCTAGGTCTAGAAATTTATAGGTGGTGATTTCATCTAATCTGTCTTTTCCAAAGGTAGAGTTGCCAGTTCTATGGCACCCACATCCACCCAGCTGTCATGTCTGGCAGCAGAACCCTCACTGGCCATGGACTTGTTGGCCTTCTGATGTGGCCACAGGTGTAAGCCATTCCACATCAGTGGGCCATCACGACATCCATGTGAGGCCAAATGTGTGATGCCTTTAGCATCATTTGACCTCTGCAGCTCTCCAGGAAAACATGGAAACATGATTTTCTCTTGCCATAGGCAGTTGAAGACAACTGAACACAGGGGTGATTGATATGTGTCTCAATAGCACTGTTACCAAGTCACCAAAGCTGCCCTTACAGCAGGAACCCAGCAACGGTACAGTAACATTACCATGAATGTCACTGGTTACCCTCAGTTACGAAGTAGCTTGGGATGAGTTAAGCAGAACAATAAATGATTCTCTCCTAGTGGCACAGAAAGGGGGAAGATTGTAAGGTTTCGGTGACAGGTAGACCTGGCTGACCATCATGCTATGCTTTGGGCAAGGTATACGATTTCATCCAGGCATTTTCTTTTAAGTTTCAGATTCCCTATCTATGAAATTGAGGGGATCAGACCTAATTCACTTCTCAGGATGAGTAAAAGGGAATAATGAGATGATGGGTATTTACTGCCTGGAAATCAATACTGTCTATCACTTTTTTATTTATCTTGTCAAGAAGCTTTATTCCCTGCATGCTTGGTGGCAAATTACCCTAATTGCCATACTTCATTCAGCCCTGTCTTGACCCAGGGATGAATATTCAATTATTTTCATTGTGTATTATAGACAAAGGCTCTGACCAAACCAGCAGGGGCCTAGAAAATGATTTTTTAAATGTCAACATGGCAGTAAATGTGCAGAAGCTTATCATTTGGTCAAACAGAAATACATAGAAGCAGGTTTCTGAGAAATTAGGATTTCCATCAAGCAGTTTTGCATTTATTCATTCAGTAGTGCCTATCTGACTTTGTCAAGTAAAATCTAGTTATTAGTTCTATTGAGTGTAGGGTTAATAAAAAGATTCAGCCACACCCTTGGATTACAGTAAGAAAACACATTGTTTAATTGGATTAGGAAACATAATTTGATAGGCACAATTGAAATCTCAAATCATTAGAATGCTATATTAATGAGAATGTATTTACTGTATATAAATGTTTTACCTCTTCATTAACAGTTCAATGTTTTTAAAAAAAACTGATCTCTTAAAACTTTTTTAGAACTATCAGCTTACTAAACTAATCATTCCTTTGACTTTTTTAGAAGTAGTCTCTATTAAAACTGCTTAACTATGAACTAACTATGCAATTAAAAACACAAGAATAAAAGTGAATAGGTAAAATATGCATAATTACTCATAATTTGCAAAATTAGTTTATCAAATTACAGTTTGAGAAAAATCACATTCATGCTATGTTATCCCAAAACCATTCTAGAATTTAAAACGTAATGAAAATAGAATACAATTATGCATTCAAAATTTCATAAGAAATGATCCTCAGAGAAAAATTAAAATTAACAGTGCCTGGGGACATATATTCTCTTCCTCACTTTCTGGGTTGCTCCACCTGTGTGATGTTGGAAACTATGTGTAATCTGTATCAAACTGATTCTTTGGAATTTTTAAAATTTTGTTTTTATGACCTGTGTGTTCACATGCATGTGGAATTGCATTAACTGAATGTCATGCATAGTGAAAATGTGTGCCTCTTCCCACAGTTCATGGCAACTGAGGTAACAGTGAGAAGAGTTAACACAGAACCCACAGAGGCAGGATATGTATGGGCTTCAGTTAACATAGAACTGCCCAAAGCAAGTATTCTCTCTCTCTCTTTCACTTTTTCTCTCTCTAATTCCCCCTTTCTCCCTCTCACATATACAGGTACATATGTATATATATATATATATAAACATACACACACATATAGTTGAATCTTACTCATTTTATTTATTTATTTATTTATTTTGGTGCTGGGGATGGAAGCCAGGGCTCCACACAGGCCAGGCAAGCACTCTACCCCTAAGCTACACCACTAGTCCATATATCACTCACATTACATATTATGGCACATTTTCATCTTTTAATACTGAATTTTTAATAGAATGTGTTAAAACTTGTAGCAAAACACTCTTAATGAATCTTTTTTTTTCCCCCCTTGGTACCAGGGATCAAATTCATGACCTCATACTTACAAGGCAGGTGCTGTGCCGCTAAACTATATCTTCAGGTCTCTTAATTAATCTTTATCTCCTGTGTTAATCTGTATCTCCTTTTTTCTGATGCTAATAACACCATACCAAACATTGGGTAAGCTATAAAGAAATGAGGCTTATCTAGGCTCATGGTTCTGGTCCAAGGCTGAGAAGCCTGATCTGGTGGACAAGAAGTGTACAGGCATGTACTAGAAAGTGTGTGCATGCAATGTGTGTGCACACATGTGTGGCAACTTTCCCTTATGTTAATAAAATATTGGAGACGACCAGTTTATAATAAAATATTGGAGAAGACTTATTCTGATTCATGGTTTCAGAGGTTTCAGTCTGTGGCCCATTAGGCCTGATCCTTTTGGACCTGTGATAGGGAAGCACACAGAGTGGGGAGCAGCACACAGAGGAACCAAACTGGCTTAGTTACTTTTTCCTCAATGAGATGTAATACGGGACACTCAGATGCCCACAATTAAAAGGATAAAAGGTTTACTTTAGCCCCCAATCTATACAAGTT